CTTCCATTAACCTTTGAGCAACCAGTGATGATATGTCGTTTTGTAACAATACAACTGAAGGCTATAGTCAAGAACATAGATTTGTTCCGCAGTCGGATTGTAAGGACTATACTCGCCCTGCTGTCTGTAGCTGCTATGGACTTGGGTCCATTGGTCCCTCGCCTCGCATTATAAGTAAAGCCCAACTATATTTTGAATTATCCTTTACACCGAACTGTTTCAAATACCACTACCCTTTAAAATTAGTGCAGAGTAAAATTTAAAGGGGCCCTGAAAACACTTTTTCAAGTAACCAGAAAGTGGATTCACTAAAAGAGCTTATTGCCTCACGAATTCAACAGCGCAAATATCTTAAGAATTCGTCTAGTTGGAGCGAAGTTACAAAGAGTTGTCACACGCTGCAATAGCATTCTCTTTTCTCTCGTCCCGACAAAGGCACTGGAAGCTAAGCAAAAGGGGATAGCTTGGGCAAAAAAACAAAACAAAAAAAACATCATGCGCGCCTCCTGACCTTGAACACAGCTCTTCTTTTTTTCTTCGATCGCGCTTGCATGCGTGGACAAGTCGCGGCGTCCCACAGCGATCCTTGTAACGACTGAACACACCATGTTCAAATCAGCCAATGGCCGATAGATGGCCTTCTACAAGTGATTTTTGAGATTCTTCCGTCACTTAACGAGAGAGGAGAAAGCAATTTTTTAGCTGACTTTGGCAATTTAACGTAAATTACAGTGCAGGCCATATGCTGTGCTATAATATTTGGCTCGCCTGTTCTCGGGAGCCTCTACTACTGATCGGCAGAGTTTTCTGACCATGCCCAAAAAGGATTGCAGGGCCCCTTTAAGGCCACATCAAACAAAAAAGGCTAGAACAGAACATCCAATATGTAGAATATCAGGCAGAGCGAAACATGCCAAGACGTTGGCTTTTTTCACATGAAGTGATTCCACTCCTGCGTCAACGCGCCAAATCAGATTTACTGTGCCATCCTGATGATATCAATGAAAATTGCACCAAATTTCACCAGAGTTGGATTTTGGAGCGTCTTTAGCATTATTACGGTGTCTGAGACACCGTAATTATACTAAACATGGTCTTAGTGCATGTTAGGCCCTTGTGCTATAATGTTAGCATCAATGGAAGCTTGTAGCTAACAAGAGATAGCCACGGCCAACAAGTGTCGACAAGCACACACTCCACTGCTCTAGATAAGTGCGATTCTGTACAGCACGAACGGCGCGTATTAATGGGCCTCCAAAATAGTGCGGCGATGGTGTGGCTGCCTTGTGGTCAAGGCTCAGTTCATACCCTTATATTGCCGCTCTAAAAAGCGAACCTCTTTTCACAGTCGGTTCGCGTTGAGAGTACAAGGTAAAAGGATATACCAGCCGTATACCCTCCTACCTTTAACACCTGCCGAAATGGCAGGCGCGGCAGCGATCACACCTTTGAAGTCAATGTTTGTAAGTTTCTAGTTCCTTCCTGCTCCTTGAAGACGGGCGGCGCGTTACCCTCTGCTTGAGTAACAATCGATGGCAAGCCTGGTACGCAGGTTGATGCTATCATGTCCACCCTTTGTGGAAAAGAGACAAGTCTGTTCTTTTTATCTCTGCTTTAGCCACATTCGTCGCCTCCGCTTGCGCACTTTTACCCGCGTGTAAAACACATGATTGGAGGAATGTTATCGATTGGGACATTACAGAAAACATGACCGCAGCCAGTAGCGTAGCCAGGAGAGTGGGAGACATCAGGAAGATGACCCCCTTCCCCTCCAATCTTTTTATGGCATATATGGCGCAAAATGACCATTTGCCTGCCCGGGTGTACCTTCAGATCAAGGTAAACCCCTTTAAGAATAATAATAAATTTCTGCCTATGCCCCTGGTGACAGCAAAGACCAGTCGAGGATTTCTATTTAATTGCTACAAGAGTATGACGTGTTGGTAATAGATAACTAATCACATAGTGCGTAAAAAATGCGAGACACAGGACAAGGGAAGAGACAAAGGGGAGCGCTGAAGCATTCCCCTTTATCTCTTCCCTTGTCCTGTGTGCACATTTTTTACACGCCTGTGATTAGTTATGTAACTGCTATCGCAACAAAATTAAAATGGCTCTCGCCTTCGAGTCGTCTTAGCATATGCATAAGGTACCCTGCAAGTTTTTTTTTTCTTTATGCACTGCTTCCTGGAGGACACTGTAGGGGGATTTTGGAGTATAGACTGAGCGCCCTAGCCACGTAAGACATCGCTGCAAAAGGAAAACGAAGTTTCTTATATGGTGTAGTTGCAATATAGATGAGTGCCGGAGGAGGTTGGCTTTATGAGACTAACTAGATGGCATTGTTAGCCCCAGCAGTATAGTCGGTTGTGAAGAAAAAGAACCTTTCTTTATCGCTCAAGTCATCTTAGGGAAATGCAGTTGGGACTGCGAGTCTCTAGCATAGTGCGTCACAGCATTTGCTTACCATGTCTGCTGATAACCACATAGGTAAATTTAGAATGTTATTTCATGAAGTAAAATTTTATTCAACCAGTATTCCATTTATTTGCTACAAAAATGATTACTGAATGAGCCTTTCCAGAATGCTCAACAACATTACGCCATTATTTTTGCATCGTCAACTGAAATAGTGCTCCTAAGGTGATTGGCTCGATGATATTTGAAATGAATAGAAATATTTCTAGCTCTTCACATGAGCTCCTAAATAATTAATTTTAAGACAGCTGAAGTGTGAATTTTCTCTGAAAAGATGTGATCATTGTGTGGCACCCGCTTACTGCAGTGAAACCAACTTTACAGGGGGTTACATGCACACTAATATACATCGATTCGTTCATTTAGAATACTTCCAAATTTCCAGTAACTTAAATTCTAATAAAAGCGAATTCAACTACTGCTGTATTTCATTCAAATATTCGAAGCACTGGAATATCCACACAAGCCCGGTTAAAGACCTTAGCTAACAAAAAGGAAAAAAAAAGAAAAAGAAAATGATGCCTGAAATTTCCCACGAGAAGAACTCGAGTAAACGCGTCGCTGAGTGGTGGGGGTATCGCGTGAATCTTGCATAATTGAGTATCGTATGGGAATGCCTAATTGTTATTTCATCTTTATTATTCTCATTTATTGAATGAGGGAGAAGCGTTGCCTTCAACCAGTGGTGGGACGCTGATGTGCAATCCAATACCTACATATACGGGTAGGCCAGTGAACGGTTGTGCAGCTCGAGCAGTGGGTGTTTACTAGCGGTAGGCCAGTGAACGGTTGTGCAGCACGAGCAGTCGGTGTTTACAAGAAGATCTGCCCGCGTCAGCCTTGCGAGGTGAGAGAGCGTGGAGGGGGAGCAAACAATTGGCACGAGATGCAAGCATGCAGCAGGATATGCGAGGCGCGAGCATGCACAGTGAGGGCGTGGACATCGCCGCCGACGCACAATGCGCGACATCGTGCGACTAATAAATGCTCCGCATGTAAAAAGAAAACTCGTCTCACAGTTTGCCATACCTTATAACAAATGATTACTGTGGCACTTTAAATCCAAAATTTTGTTATTTATGCTGAAACCACTGCGAGCTGGACATTTCTGATGGCTACCTTTCAATCAGAAGCTTATTTCAACACTTATGATGTACTCAGGCACTCATTTGTGCATGTTGTGCGGCATGACCTGAAAGTAAGGCGAGAGTTGCGGAAGTTTGGAAAGCTGTAACACTGAGGCTGTCCCACACACAACCACAGCGAAAGCAGTGTTCGCATGGCCTCTCAAGCTCAGCTGCGACTCTGGCTCCACATGAAACCTGAGCTGGCATTTTATGACCATAAAAAGTATAAAGAACGCTGTTACTAAGAATATGATACAGTCGAATCTCATTAATTCGAACACACTTAATTTGAACTTCCTGTCAATTTGAACTCACAATGAGCTCCCGTCAAAGCTATGTGTATTCCAATGGGCGAAAACGCCCGGTAATTTAAATGCACAAGCACTTGCGACAATTAATTCGAACATACCGCGCTCTGAAAATGCTCTCACCCCCCCCCCCCCCCCCAAATCCCGCGGCAGTACCTCCGACACCTCATCGCTGCGCGCGAAGGAAAGAAAAGGCTGCGGTGGAATGTTTGCACTCTCTCAAATGCTGATCTGCCACACGCCAGTGCCACGCTTAACCCTTTTCCGCCCCAGCCACGTAATGACCCTTTTTGACAGAGAAGAAAAAAAAAAAAAAGCTGTCGCGGAGTGTGGCTTTGTGTAACGTAACTTAGAAGTGTGGCAGCTTAGGCTAGTTGGTATAGCATGATGATAGTTATAGCGCGAGAACAAAACGACGACACAAAGACAAGAAGGAGACGAAAGACACGAGCGCTAAGACATGAGACTAAGATGAAAGACACTAGCGCTCGTGTCTCCCATGTCTTTCTTGTCTCTGTGTCATCGTTTTGTTCTCGTGCTATAACTATCGTCTGTTTCGCGCGCCGGTGCCACGCTTCTCCCTTTCCCACCCCTGCTACGTAACTCTACTTCTTTCAACGACTGCGTGCGACAAGAGCAAAAGAAAAAGAAAAAAAAACGCCAATCTGCTTCTCTCTGCGTGGAGGCGCTCCTTTCTCGTCACGTGCTGGCCACGCTGCGGCTTTGGCACAGAGGGTAGTAGCGGACATGCAGTCGTTGCAATTGTCTATAGAGAGTGTCGGCGCTGGACATTGCGGCACGCAGCTTCTCTTGCCAGGAGGATGCCGAAGCTAAAGTAGACTTACTTTGGCAAGCTGCGGGCAGAATTACTCGTTGCAAGGCAAACGTGTGCAGATGCGCATAACCGATTACTTCAATTAATGACAAATGCCCTGTGATTTGTGAATAAATGCAACTTTTCTGAAACTTACCCTCTCGTGTGTTAGCTCAATGCACATGCGCCACTGCATAGGGAGCCCTCCGTTTACTTAGCTTTCATTAATTCGAACTTTCTTTTAATTCGAACAAACTTTTGGGACCCTTCGAATTCGAGTTATCGAGATCCGTCTGTATTTCTGCGTCAAAATATAGAGAAATTTTGAGCTAAAGTTTCCTCATAAAAGCTCATCTACGGTTCTGTTTTTACGGGGAATTTTGTTCATACACTGGGAGTTTCAAAGCACTGCCTGAAGAGTGTTTTACTGCAAGAACTCCTAGAAAAGCTTTAGTGATAGCATAGATCAAAGCAAATAAAAGGAGAGGCAGCTAATGCCGATTTCCTCATGAAGTTTTTAGCCGACTTTGGATTTTTTGGTTGATTTGCAGGTCACTGGTGCCGCCATGGTTATAGAGAGCCTTCAGCTGCTGTACCATCTTGCCTGCTTTCGATGCTGTGTATGCCAAGCACCGCTGGGCAATGGCCTGTGTGGGACAGACGTACGTGTTCGCAACACAAAGCTTCACTGCACGGACTGCTACAGCAATGATGAGGGTAAGAGACAAGAACACTCTTTTAAACACAAAGTAAAAAGTACGGGCGCTTCACTGATTCTGTTGCCTTCACATTTAATCATGTTGCAATGGGGGAACCTTAAGAGTACGGGTGTATGAATGTTCAAAATTTCAAATAGTGTTTGTAAGTGGCCCCTCAGATTTTCAATATGCTTCACCTCATCACACTCTCGTTGCGGTAAAGCTGCTTTTCAGGCTCTGCTAAGATTACAAATGTATTGACTAAAAAAAAAAATGCTGCTTCTAACATGAAAGATTTGGCTGGGGCAAGGCTCAATTATGCTGTTTCGAACAGGAAATTGGGCAGGCTAGTTAAAAAAAAACAGATGCCAAAGATCAATATATCAGATGATCTGATATATTGATGTCTACGAAGAAGATTTGGAACCCCGAAATCGAAGGGAGGACATCCTTGTACACCACATCAGTTGGGCTTCCACAGAAGTTGAAAGAGAAAGGCTACAAAAAAAAAAAATATCATCTTTGCCTTTCACAAATAAAGTGTTGTCGGCAACACCTTGACTGCACCATATGTACAAAATACAATTCGGCTTTTGCTTAATAACACCACCCTGTCAGCACTTCTTCAACCTAACAAAATGAAACACCTTCATCTTGCTATCTCATGCAAGAGTATGCTTGGGAATTTGTTTTTTGCAATTTTGCTTCAAAGTATTCAAAAGATATTCTAGAAATATTCAAAAAATATTCTATTCAATTCACACTCACAATTTCGCTATTTGTACAGCTCTACTTAAGAGGTGTCTATTTACTCGTATATAAAATGCAGATGCACTGAGAATAAAAATGAAAACATGCGCAATGTCACTATCTGTATATCGTAAATGGGCCATCATCCGCAATGTGCTTTTTGCAGCGGGAGTGAAGCTGAGCAGGGTCTGATGATGGAGGTGATCAATGGTGAGACGTCTCCCGTGGCACCGAGTGTTCTTTGTCATGGCTGGTACAAGACCTGCATCAACCGGTGCCGTGTCTTGGCTGCAGACCCTCCTAAGCAGCTGTTTGGCTGCTACAGGCCTGTAGAAGAGCACACAGTTGTTATGCAGTGTTTTTAATTACTCAACATATATTTTGTATGTAGTAGATACAGCCCAAAAATGGCAGCTGCTTTATACATGCAATAAAAGCTCATAGCCAAAGAGAACCTTTAACATTTTTGTCTGCCATCAACGAGAAGTGTTATTTTCTAATCCTTGGATCAGTTTCATTATCCCCATCAAACTATGTAGTTGGTGAGAGGTATAGGTACAGTCGAATCTCGATAATTCGAACTCGAAGGGGCCCGAAAATTTGTTCAAGTTCAAAGAAGTTCGAATTATTGAAAGCTAAATAAATGGAGGGCTCTCCATGCAGTGGCGCATGTGCATTGAGCTAACAGTCGAGGGGGAAGTTTCCGATGACTTACATTCATTCACAAATCACAGCACATCCGTTATTAATTGAAGTAATCGGTGATGCGCGTCTGCACACGTTTGCCTTGCAGAGAGTCAATCAATTTCGGGCGCAGCTTGCAAAGCATTTCTACTTCGGCTTCAGCATTCTCCTGGCAAAGAGAGTTGCGTGCGGAAATGTCCAGCGCTGACACTTACTAAAGACGACAACGACCACTGCGTAGCGCAGCGGAGCCTCTCCGTTACGCAGCCGCAGCATGGCCAGCACGACAAGAAAGGAGGAGCGTCTCCACGCGGAGAGAAGCAGATCGGCATATGAGAGAACACCAAGACTCCATGCCAGCTTTTCTTTTTGCCCCTTTGCGAGCGTCGTTGAAAGGAGAAGGGTTACGTGGCAGTGACGGGAAAGGGGGAAGCCTGGCATCGGTGGGTGAGAGACACCCCACCCCTCAAGGCGCAGAACCGTGCTCCCGCAAAGGGCAAGAACTGCAGAAGATAGTGCCTTTTTCCTTTCCTTCAACCACCCAGCAACAGCTTTTTTTTTTTTCCCCTCTCTATTAGCGCACGTTGTTGGAAGAAGGGTCTTTATGTGGCCGGGACGGAAAGAGGGAGAGAGAAGCTGACACAGGCGCATCGCAGATCGGCATTTGAGAGAAAGCAAACATTCCACCGCAGCCTTTTCTTTCCTTTTCATTTCCTTCGCACGCAGCGTTGAGGTGTTGCAGGTACTGCCGCGGGATTGGACAGGGTGCTGAGAGCACTTTTGGGGCGCGGTATGTTCGAATTAATCGTTGCAAGTGCTTGTGCGTTCGAATTACCGGGCGTTTTTGCCCATTGGAATACACATAGCTTTGACTGGGACCTCATCGTGAGTTCAAATTAAGCGTGTTTGAATTAACGAGATTCGACTGTATTGGCTTATTGTTTAGATTGAACTTGCAAAAATCTACCAATACCAGCGCTATCTGACAATTGTGCTGAGGCAGGATACAAAGTATTTTTAACCATCGTGTGTCAGGACATAGATAGTAGTTCTTAAAAACTGATCATGAGGTACTGAAGGAAATACCGTACTACTTAAAGTACTGCATATTCCCGATTATAAGTAAAGTTTTTTTTTTTCATAAAATGGCCTTCCAAAGTTGGGGGTCGACTTGTAGTCGGAGTCAAGCCTACTCGCAGAATTGTAAAGCAGACTTTTCAGAGGGGTCCGACGAGTAGTCGCCGTCCTAAGAATCACTGCTATTTGACGCATCGATAACCTCAGCCACACAGACAACGGAGTTGCGGGAACTGCCATCTCCCAACGCACTCACGCCACTTCCAGTGCCGGACATTTTTATGACCTGCCGCAACGATCGTGAAGCTACGGTATAGCTATGGTGGCTAGAGGTGGAGGTGTCAGCAACGTGTCAGACATGCAGCACTTTTTCATGACGTGCCGCTGACGACATTATGGTTTCGATGATAGCACCACGGCATTGGCGCACTTGTTGGGCAAGATCGACAACAGCACTCACCGCATATAGGTGTGACAGCGCATTTGGCTTGCGAAGAATTGCGACATGCGTTTATCGCTTGCTAACGATGCGACATGCGACATGCGTTTATGTCACGAAAAACTGTACATGCATCTCTCACTTGCAAGAAACATAACATTTGTCGTTCGCGAAAGACATGACATGCGTTTCTCGCTTTAGTGGACAGCGTGCCCCAACATTGATTGATATGTGGAGTTTAACGTCCCAAAACCATCATATGATTATGAGAGACACTGTAGTGGAGGACTCCGGAAATTTCGACCACCTTGTGTTCTTTAACGCGCACCCAAATCAGAGCATGCAGGCCTACAACGTTTTCGCCTCCATCGAAAATGCAGCCGCCGCAGCCGGGATTCGATCCCACGACCTGCGGGTCAGAGTACCTTAGCCACTAGACTACCATGGCGGGGCCAGTGTGCCCTAACAGCGCTTGATGGCAATTCTGCAGAGCACCATGGGCGTTCCACGAAAAAGCTAGCAACACTTTGTGGGAACTAAACCACATGACCAGTCACATGCACCCACAAGCATCTTCACGTCTTTTGCGCTCATGCCCATTCGCCATTTCTGCATTTAAGGGGGGAGGTGGGGATCGAAAGTGAAATTCTTTAGTTTTTGTCGTAGAGCAATGAAATTTGGCATGCTTACTGGAAACTGCGCTAAATGATAAATGACAAAGTTTCATTCAGCTATCTGCAGTAGTTCTGGCATTATAAATTTTTTTATCCATCAGTGTACTACCAAACTTGCCCAAAGCCTGGTGTGACAAAAAAACATGGTAGAAGCCTATAGTTGCTCTTATATTTTAGCCATTGGGATGGTTGATGTCGTGACATTCTGCAAATATTTTTATGACTCTGTTTTTATTTTACAGAGAACATTGTATACATGCTTGTAAATGTGGTCGTTATCATAATATGAAATTAGCTTAGGAGTAAAAATACTGAGGTAGTAATTAACAAATATGAAAACGTCACGACATAGAAAATTCACTGAGGAACACAATGCAAAAAACCACATGAAAATCCGTCAAGCCATAGTCATGCAAGCATCGTGGCAAGCTGGACAGTCGGGTCAAAACACGTTTTCTGAGAAAACTGGCGTTAAAGTTGAACAGTCAGTAAAGGTCCATCAAAATGCCCCGGGACTGTAATACTTTGTGTCTTTGCTTGCGAGGGTCTTCTTACGTCCTTTCTCTTTCATTTTTTCTGCACTGCGTGCTTTTCGTTTTCTTTGCTGGTCTTTTTCTTCAGCTCTTTGAAGGGCGAGGCTAGCAGGTTTGATGCCCACGGACTTGCACATTTCAGTGTAGGCTCGCAAATTCCCAAAATTGTAGCGTGCAACTGCTTCATGTACTGTTGTCTCCACTGCGAACAATGAAGCGTGTTGGTCCTTTGAAGTCAGTGACCAAATAACTGAATGCAAGCTTTCCGCCGCATTCTGAGTTTTGTTGCCTTTGCATCGCTCCAACAGTTGCGGGTCAGAGAGACGTTGGTATACAGGCAGCAGAGCCTCCGCTACACGTTTCGACAGGTTATACCTGTGAGGTGGTGCTGGCTCCATTTTGGCCTGTGCTGAACGATGTTTGCACCAGCTATCAGGGCCAGGTGGGCAGAGCTCATGGTGAGGCTCGTCGTCGGTGGACGTGACGTGATAAAAAGTGGCCATCACGGCCCTTTGCATGTCAGAGACACTTGTGTGTTTTCGTAAGGCTAACCCGTAGTAGCTGGTCAGTTTTTTAATCAACTCCTGCGTCAGTCCACCTCTCCCACCCAATGGCTCCCCTTTCTTAGCTCTTGTCACCAGTGTGCGGAGAGCGGTGCCCATTCTTTTCTGCACATGGTTCACGCAGTCTTCTTTGGTCAGTGGTATGAAGCCGTACACCTCATCTTTGCACAGAGCAAGATAGGTTCGGCTGTCACCATCACATATAATGTTGGTGTAGCGGAGGCCATACCTGCTGACAGAGCGCCTGAAAAGTGTCAGAGCAGCCTCCACTTCCATCTGTCCGGAGCCAACATCAGTATTCTTCTGACATTGATGTTTCTCAGCCCAAGTGACGAAGTTGGGGTCGCTCTCTGCTGGTTGTTGACAACACCCAAGACAGAAGTTGGAAAGGACTGTGCAATCCAGCACAAGCCCCGTGTAAAACTCAATAATACATCCTACCCCAATGTGTGAGCTGTGGCCTCTTGTAAGCCACGTGCCGTCATACACAACTGTGATGTTGTTTGGGCTTGATGGCTGCATCTTACTGTACACGTCTTTTACCGCAAGCACAGCATCTGCAAAGATGTTTTGTGCAGCTTCCTCTGCTCCTGGTTTGAATGTTTTTTTTAGGTGTTCCTGATAGGTTTTTTGATGAATGCCCCGATGAGAGACATTCATTGTAGCCCAGAAGTCATTCAGGGCAGTGGGCCCTTTTCCAATGGACTTGATTGCTTGCATGGCTCTTAGGTTGACTTCAAAAGCCCTTCCTTCGGATTTTCTACTGGATGACCAAGGTGAATGAATAGGGCCACAGGAAGCACACAAAAGTACCAGTTTTACTGCCAGGCCCAATTTTGTCCCATGCTGCACTGACAAAGTCTTCTTACAACATTTTGGGCAGAGTGCAGGTCCTATTAGGGAATTCATGGCAGAAACCTGAATTAGGGTGAACTCATCCTCTTTTGTTGCCGATGTTTGCTCCGTTTGCTGCGCGAACCCGAACTTCCGCTCCGTTGCCGACACCTCGCGAAGTGCATCGCGGACACTGCTGGCTTGCTTCTCGGCGCCTTCCGAGGACACGAAACGAGGTTCCAGGTGTATTTGAATGGTGCGCTTCCGCTGAGGCAAACGATCGCCGACATCCTAGACAGCTGGCACCACGTCGTCGTCCGCCGCCGCGAAAACGAAACTTTTCTCGCGTTCACACCGCACCGTGATGCCGCGGCTAGTTGACGGCCCCGGGTCATAGGCCTCACTACCGGCCGTCGACTCGCCATCATTCCGAAGAGCTGGCACGACGTCGTCATCCGCCGCCACGGAAACGAGACTTCTGTCGCACTCGAACCGCACCGCGATGTCGCGGCTAGTTGACGGCCCCGCGTCATAGGCCTCACTGCCGAGCATCGGCAGCGAGCAGGTGTCGGCTTCCGACGACACGTAGCTTGGTGGCGACGCGGTACTCGGTTCGTTTGATTCAATCGCTGCTGACTGCTTCGTTTTCCCAACAGGAGGCTTGCGTTCACGCTTCCCGTAAGCGTACTTCGTCCGGTACTTCGTCCTGCGCTTCCGGTCCACGCGACGATCCATTGCGGGCGCTAAGCCTCGCGCTAGAGAAGAGTTGGCGTATCGGCAGGGGATTCGCAAACTATAGTGCGCCAGCGTGTGCGTAGCAGACGTGCGTGCGCGGAGCAGACGACCAGCGCAAGCAAGCGCGTCCCAGCAGCCACTCACAGAGCGCGCTCAGTACCACGTGACAGGAGCGACCAATGGGTGCGCGTCTAAGGCGTCGCGGATGCCTTCGCATTTTTTCTGTTTGTGCGTTTATCTTAGCTCGTAGAGTCGTGGTTTCACCGGGAGAAGTACGGCGGTGAAGCAAGCTTTCCAGTGACACCAAGTTTTCCGCGAGCGGCAGCGAAGGCGCGGAAGTATCGCGCTCGGAAATGGGCCATTTTCGCACAGATTTCCGCCAGCTTTTTGCGATCCGCGGTCAGAAAACATTTTTTAAGCTTACTTTGAGATTGTTTTCGGCGGAAATATTTTTAGATATGATAGAAATGGTGATGCAGAATCCAAATCTGCCCTTATCCAAAATTCGTTTTTTTGCGAGAATTTCGCGATTTGATCCCCGCGTCCCCCCTTAACCTCTTCGCTCGCAAACAGTGGTGTGTGCAATTTGCAAAGCTGCCCAACGGATGCCAACATGCTACTGCTACACTGGCAAAAGTACCTCGCTGCTATCAAGCGGCAAGAGATGCTCTACACAGAGCCAGAAAGCAACGTTGAAGCTGGGTGGAAGTTCGATGCGTGGGAAAAATTCGTGAGGGAATCGGGAAAATGAAGGACCAAGATCTTCACATGCACTGTGACTGAAGCTGTGTTCAAAGTCAACTTTTCTTTTTTTGGCTAGAAGGGGTGCAAGTTGGGAGGTCAACTTATCTGCAATATACAGTACATGAAAGTACTTCAGCATGACCAAGTAGCACCATTGTTCCTTTAATTGACCAGTCACGCCTGTTAGGCATTGGCAACACTGCATCTCAAATTTTTAATGGCAGCTCATTTTTTTTCAACACAGCAGTAGCCCATGATGCCGCTTCGGTTCGGAATCAAAAAGCAATGACAAGAAGTTGCACTTTGCACATCAGACGGCAGGAACACATGCGCTGTTTGGCAGGAGTTGGCCTGATTCGCAGAAGTGTTAGTAGGAGGCTTTATGCAACAAACATACTATCAGCACATGGTGTGAGCATCAAGTTGGCAGAAGCATAGTTTCTTGCACTCTAAAAGAGGGAAAAGTGGCGCAGCGAGCTGTTCTACACACGGGAATGCTGGGAAATGGGAGTTTTGAACTTGACCCTGGTGTGCATCGATCACGTCGAGCCCAGACACCTCAAATATGCGCCTAGCTTCAATGCGTTACTTGCGTCAAAATGGTTGATTTTGTACTAAATGAGCACTAAGAAAGCTATTTTTTTATTATTGCACAGAAACGTGTTTTGTTTAACTTCAAAAACATCTGGATCGATGTACAGCAATTTTGCAAAGCGTAATAAAGTACTAGGCAGCCATTAAACTTGGAAGTCAAATTACAAGGCCAGCGTTCACTATGCCACTGTTTGTCGCCTGTTTCTTTTTTTTTTTTTTTTTTTGCAGCTTGGTTATGCCGCAAAGGTGAGTGGACTTTTATTGTAGAATATTACACACGAGAACGAGATTCGCTTATAAAAGCTTTTGTTTTAGAGAAGCTTCATTCGCTTTATATCTCCTTTTTTTGCTGAAGCCTCGCTCAACATAAGCCTGACAGACCTATACCGTAATTCCCATTGCCGCAAAAGTGCCACTTAAGAAATTTGCACAGACGGTGGCTCCAGATTTTGCACAGACGGTGGCTCCAGAAACTATGGGCAGAAAAGTCGACTACCCGGACTTTTGGGGGCAACTTAGACTAAGGGGTCAAGCACTTTTCAGCAGACTGCAACGTTTCAACTTCAGGTGTACAGTTGCCTTTCATAGCTTAGAAAAAAAAAAAAAAAGCGGATATCAATGTCAAGAAACACTAGTCAGCAAAATTGGTCTGCCCTCTACGGTAATGTTATCCTAACAGAAACGAAACTAACGCACTTTGACAAGAATGCTTGGAGGGCCTCCCGCGCAGTGCTGGCAAAGTATTCTTTTGGCACCAGCTCAGCGAGTAGGACCATGGCACCTTCTGTTGTCGATGCCGGCCAGCTCACCTTATGGTCCTTCTCAGCCTGCGACAAAAGATATAAGATCGCTGGCTGAAATAGGAGTGACCATTTGTATGTAGACAACTAGCCAAGCTTTAATTTGCAGTTTTGCTTTCCCATAAACATGTCAGCAAAAAATATACTCTATAATCGACATGAAGTATCTAGCATACAGAACAAAGTGCACATACATGCTACTATAGAAAAATGTTTGGCAAGTGGGATACCTCTGGATATATGAAAGCCACTTTCACACTGGATATAACTTCGTTAAAACGAATTCGAGCTATTGAAATACATTTAAAGAAATGCATTACATCAGTGGCCCCTCGACTATGTGCAGTACATTTACACTATCACCATGTTCTAAGCGATATCGAGCATACAGATGACGATGCTTAAAGGGTCATGATGGAGTTGTCAGCGTTAAATCGGACTGCCATACTCATTGGTGTCTGCGATATTGCCTTCACGCCTCCCCATGCCAACCGTTAAAGGGAGTCATTGCACTGACATTAAAGAGGCACAAAACTGAAACAATGAGTCAGTTTAGACCGGAAAATTATACTCTGAATAATTGTCTTTAATATCGCACTCAATATTTTAAGATAAAATTGAGTTAAAACTGTCATTTCCAAATTTCGAGCAGAAATTTCCGCATGCGAGTGACATGACATATTTTAAGCTGTTTCAATCGTACTTTGACCACAGCAGCTCAATTAAGTTTCTTGAAACATGGTATGTGAAGTCCCTGGCTCCCTGGGAAGGCAATGTACTATATACCTACCAATTAGGAACTATACAGGCCCCACTAGATGCCGTGAAAATCTGTGACGCCGCAGCGTTCGGTGTGGGATCATTAAGGCGGTGTTGCCACCCACCCTTTTTTTTGTTTGTTTTCTCACTTACTTAGTGTGTTTTTTAGGCAAGAGTGAAAATTTTGGTATTATGAAAAATTGATTTACGAATACAAAAAAAAATAGTTCTTGTTTTTAAGTCAACATCACTAGTTGACCAGTCTGAATTTCATGAAATGGCCAAAGGCCTTTTGCAGCACAAGTGGAGTCGCCCTCACTGTGAGTGGGGTATGCTGTTAACTTTTAAAAGACAGACCAGTACAGCTGAAGCAGTCAGCGAATACATCTGCCTCAACTACAATTTAGCCAAGATAATGATCATTCACCTTAATCAGACCCAGGTTTACTACGATTTCGTTAGTAAGCCCCGGTAATTGGTTCTCCTTTTTGGCAAGACCGAAGGCAGCAGAGAGCAGCGAGTCTGCACAGTCCACGGCAAAGCGTTTTCCCGAGTCACCTTCTTCACCACTGCCCAGCACCGACGCCACCTGTACGAAATGCCACACAGCATTTTAGCACTTGCATCCCCGACACTTAGCAACAACGATTAATTACAGCTAAAGGCAGAGTCACTACTTACTTTCATGAAGGCTGTTACATAGCTACGAATAAGGTCAGTGCCACTTGCAGTCGATTCAACCTCTCGAAGCAAATTCTGTGCACGATGACTGCCAAGCTGCGCCAGCTTGGCTGCTGTCGGGGACAACAGGAACTCCTGCAAGAGAGTGACAGATTTTGGGCCTGTTTAATGTCGTCGAAGCTTTAAGATGGCTTCGGCTCATTACAAGCACTCACCACTTTCTGGCCTGTATCAAGGTAAGGTAGAGAAAGTATATTTATCCATTTTGTACAGTGGACTCAGTGAATAAAACTGCTTCTTATATTAATGGTTTCATAGCTGAATTTTGCACTTCTGCTTACCTGTCAGTCATCACTCTTACTCTTATTCAATAGAACACATTTTTATCATTCTTTCAGGTACTCTTTAATGAAACTCTGCTGTGCACATCGACAGCATTAGTGACTGTGTATGTGTATACATGCACGGTGCGTATATTTGATGCACATGACATCGACACTTTCCACTGTTTCCTACACTTCTACAATGCAAGTAAAGATGAACGATTTTTCACTCCAGTGAAATATGAACTGCGACAGAGTTCGAAGCAACTGCTACACTAGATAAAGTTGCGATGGTTCCATGCAAAGCCAGATCTGTGCAATCGTAATTGGAACAAGATCTTCCTGCAATTTATGTGTATGGCAAGACAAAAGATTATCTGATCTTTTTCCATCTCCCACATCAGCAGCTTTCGTACATGTGTACTTGTTCTTGAAAGCCTGGGCCGTAAAAATAAAAGTAAAAAGACGACACTAGGAAACGCTGCTAGGTACCAGACAATGAAAGTGTAACAATTAAACTAGAAGTAGAATAAAAAAGAAAAGACTGTGTTGGTACAATGAACTGGAATGGGGCAGCTTGCTGTCTTCACAGCAAACCAATGGGAGAAAGGTGGTCACCTTTGCGATGATGCCACCAGTGCGGCGCCACCGTCACTGTGCCTGGCAGGCGTAATTTAAATTTTCACTGCAAACTTTTCTTCACAGTTTTTGAGTAAAATAGTCCCATCACACAATTCAAATTAAAAGTATCTGTAAGATTAAAAGATATCCAACACGTATAGCTGCATTAATGAGATAAATAATGCTGCTTCTGCATGATCTGAGCTCGCACAATTCCTGTCGCAGAACAGGGACCCAGATCGTCTGCTTGTTTACTGTTTTGCTTTCAAGAAGCATGAAAAAGCACATCGCTATTCATTTGACCCACATGTCCTCCTGCCCAGTTATCACACTAACTTAAAGTCATGCGACGAAACAAACAAAGAGGTCCTGAAGGATAACGTTATCATCGGGTTAGTTCCACGACCACCACTTACTTGCATGAGCCAGGAGAGCAAACAGTCGCAATATTAAAAAAGGTAATAATAATGCCTAATGACAAATACTGATCTTTTCTTCAAACATTTTACTCATCAAGGGGACGTCAAAGTCTAAGAACGTAACTATATATTATCCACAAAGTACTCGAGGTGAAGGGTTTATCTTATGTGAATAAACCCCTGGATTCCTGTTGGTCTGAAAAAAACTACTATGCATCAGGATTCCACAAATACGGAGTTTTCTATGCACACATTAAAATTCGCTAATGCGTTAAGGCGCTATCATGCTACTCGCCCAGCCGCAACGCTCGTGGCGGGACACCTGCCGCACCCAAGCGGGGAACAAATGAGCGAATCGGCAACGCTCTTTCATACTCCACTAGGGTGCAACAGGTGCCCCGGCATGTGCGTTGCGGCTGGGTGGGTAGCATGTGGACAGGCCCTGTGAGAAACAGACGACTGCAATCGACGAGTTTCCTTTACACACACACGACCAGCGTGGCCACTAGAGCAACTAATCTCCGAGGCTTTGTATCTCAGCTTCTCATATTGCCACCAGCACGTAGTGGGTCGACAGCAAGAGCGGCTCTCAATCTGGAGGAAAAAGAAGATCGCGTGCTTTCTTCTCTGCTCGAGAGGCAGCCACGACTGACGCATCGTCCTAGAGCTAGCTACCCGGTCGTTCAATAAATCCCCCAGTACTTGTGACTCATCGTGACAAACTGGTGGAGGTGCTGGGTAGTCTCACGGATGCTGCAGACCCCCCCAGGAAGCCGTAATACGAGTCCAGTGCCAGTCAATACTTCCTTGCATCGAACCAGCCGCCGAATCAGGGGATTGCCTCCGGAAGTCAACGATACTGCTCCCACCACGTCAACAAACATGACCAGCACTTCGGTACAAACCTTGCCAACCGGCACGGGAAGCACGTCGTCGAACCGCTATACCTTGGAAAGCCCACGGGCATCGACGACGTTCCATGGTACGGAGCGCGAAGACGTTGAGGACTGGTTGGCGGACTTCGAGCGCGTAGCCAACTTGAATCAGTGGGACGACACGGCGAAACTGGGTCGTGTCTACTTCTATCTCGAAGACGGGGCTCGCACGTGGTATCAAAATCGAGAGGAGCAGCTGACGACGTGGCGACGCTGCATCTCCGCCATTGTTCGTTCATCCTGTCCCTGCAGTTTCACTCGAGTCAGCGCAGCACATACCATACTGCGAAGGCGCGTACACGCCACCACCCCTGCCCTTTGTCCGTGGTGCTTCTGTCGCCCATCGTTCGGTGCAACCGGTCCAGTACATCGACGATCGCCACTCGTCTCCTCGGAAGTCTGATGTCTGGCGCACACCCGATCATCGGCCTCTATGCTTTCACTGTGGAGAAGCTGATCACTTGTACCGCCAGTGCCCTTATCGCCGTCTTGGGCTTCGCGGCTTCTCTGCGTACTCGCCGCCACCCCGTTACGGTCAGAGACCACGCGACATTCAAAACTACCTCTCCCAGCAGCATGCACCACCGTCTGCCGGGCGCCAGTCGCGCTCGCCATCACCGAGGCGATATTCATCAACGCCCCAGCGGTATTCTACCGCACGATCTCCCAGCCCCCGCCGGGAAAACTAGCCGAAGCGACCTCTGGGGGCGGGGACGCTGAACGTCGAAGCGCTGAAGACCTCCTATTGACGCAGAACCGTACAGAAACTGGTCCGACATCACCTGCTGCTGCAAAGGATAGCCGGCTTTCACTCGACATAGCAGTAACAATTGATGGTTGTGTAGTTAATGCGTTAGTGGACACCGGTGCAGACTATTCCATACTGAGCGGGAAACTGACAACGCAGCTGAAGAAAGTAATCACGCCGTGGCATAACTCGCAGATTCGGACAGCTGGTGGCCATGTCGTTACTCCACTGGGCGCCTGCACAACTAGAGTACAGATTCAAGGGTACACATTCGTAGCAAGCTGCCTTGTTCTACGTGAATGCTCCCGTGACGTCATTCTGGGAGTTGATTTTCTACAGGAAAATGGAGCTATCATTGATCTGCAAGAGCGCCGCGTCACGTTCTCAGCCCAGCGAGCAATCAACGTGCAGGATGACGGAATGCGTGTCGACGTACTCCGTATTTCTGAACAGAGCGTGACGCTTCCTCCCCGAGCCAGTGTTTTAGTCGACGTAACATGCTGTGGTTTGTGCGATGGTGATGTGGTGGCCGAGACAAATTTAGAACACCTCCTGCAGCAAGGCATATGTGTAGCGAGAAGTGTAATACACGTTCGTGACGGCCGATCTGAATTGCTCGTTACCAACTTTAGCAACAAGCATCGACACCTTTTCCGTGGCACTTCGATAGCGTTTGCCCACGAAGTAGCAAACGTAACCAACTGTCTCACGTCAGAAATAGTGGATAACGCAGACACATCAATGAGCAACATTGACATCAATCCTGATCTGTCCATCGATAACCAGACTGCGCTGCGAGCGCTCTTGTTCGAGTACAGGTCTTGCTTCGCAAGTTGCTCAAAGATCCGCCAGACGTCCATCACTCAACACAGGATCATCACGTACGAGGACGCATGCCCAATACACCAGCACCCCTACCGCGTGTCGGCTAAAGAACGTGAAGCGATATGTACGCAAGTTCGCGAGATGCTTGACGATGGCGTTATCGAAACATCCAACAGCCTGTGGTCATGTCCAGTCGTGCTTGTCAAAAAGAAGGACGGGTCGCTACGCTTCTGCGTCGATTATCGAAAGCTTAACAACGTGACCAAAAAGGATGTGTACCCGCTACCGCGTATCGACGATTCGCTAGATAGACTTCGTCGTGCCCATTATTTCACTTCTCTCGATCTCAAAAGCGGGTACTGGCAAATCGAAGTAGATCAGCGAGACCGCGAAAAGACAGCCTTCGTGACTCCAGACGGCCTATACCAATTTCGAGTGCTCCCTTTTGGCTTGTGTTCAGCGCCGGCAACTTTCCAGCGAATGATGGACACTGTCCTCACAGGGCTGAAGTGGCAGACTTGTCTTGTCTACCTTGATGATGTGGTGGTCTTCTCTGCCACGTTCGAGCAGCACCTTCAGCGCCTGCGCAGCGTACTGGAGGCTATCCGATCGGCGGACCTCACACTAAAGCCACAGAAGTGCCACTTCGGCTATAAAGAACTAAAATTTCTTGGACATGTAGTTAGCGCCGAAGGAATCCGTCACGATCCGGACAAGCTTGCCGCTGTTGCCGAATTACCAGCTCCTGTCGATAAGAAAGCCGTCTGGCGCTTTCTTTGTTTGTGCGCCCACTATCGCCGATTCATTCATGGCTTTTCACAGATAGCAGGACCTCTGACTCGTCTCACAAGGGACGACACGCCGTTTGTCTGCGAAAACGAGCAACAAGCAGCTTTTGATGAGCTGCGACAGCGCATGCAATCAGCACCCGTTCTCGCTCATTTCGACGATGATGCTGACACGGAGGTCCATACCGACGCTAGTAACATTGGGCTCGGTGCAGTGCTCGTTCAACGCCAAGAGGACGTCGAAAGAGTGATAGCCTACGCCAGCCGCTCTCTATCCCGTGCCGAGGCGAATTATTCCACTACGGAGAAAGAGTGCCTCGCAGTCGTGTGGGCAATCACCAAGTTCCGCCCGTACCTTTATGGTCGTCCCTTCAAGATAGTGACAAACCACCACGCCCTCTGCTGGTTGGCAAGCCTGCGCGACCCTTCAGGACGGCTAGCACGGTGGAGCTTGCGGCTGCAGGAATTTGACGTCACCATCGTCCATAAGTCCGGTCGTAAGCATGAAGACGCTGACACACTGTCACACGCACCCCTTCATGTCGTCAGTCAGGAAGCAGAGAAAGACGAAGGCTTCCTGGGCGCCATTAGCTCATCAGACTTGAGTAAACGGCAGCGGGATGACGCAGAGATTCGTCCGATCATCGATCATTTAGAGGGCCAGGACATAATCATACCACGTCATTTATTCCGCTCGTTGCCGTCGTTCTGCCTTCGAGATGGTGTGCTGTACAAGAAGAACGCTCGTTCGAACAACCGTGCCTACCTCCTGGTGGTTCCTCGAGACATGCGAGACGACGTCCTCTTCTCTTGCCATGACGAACCCACATCCGGTCATCTGGGCTACTCACGGACACTTGCCAGAGTGAGTGAGAGGTACTATTGGCCAGGACTTTCGGCAAGCGTCAAGAAGTACGTCAAGAGCTGTCGGAAATGTCAGCGCCGAAAGCAACCATCTGTTAAGCCAGCTGGTTTGCTTCAGCCCATTGAAGCACCTTGCACGCCATTCGACCAAGTCGGCATGGACATTCTCGGGCCATTTCCCCTGTCTGCGGGCAACAAATGGGTGATCGTCGTGACCGACTATTTGACACGCTACGCTGAAACCCAGGCAATCCCACGAGCCACGGCTTCTGAGGTAGCACAATTTTTCATGCGCCACATCGTGTTACGACACGGTGCTCCTTCCAGAGTAATAACGGACAGAGGGACGGCATTCACGGCGCAGCTTACGGACGAAGTTTTCAAACTGAGCAACACCAGACACCGAAAAACAACTGCGTACCACCCGCAAACCAACGGACTTACCGAGCGACTGAATAAGACCCTCGCAGACATAATCTCAATGTACATCGACGTACAGCACAAAACATGGGACCGGATCTTACCTTACGTGACCTTCGCGTATAATACCGCCATGCAAGAGACCACGCGATTCACGCCATTTCGGCTTCTCTACGGCCGCGAAGTGCAGACCATGCTAGACTCTATGCTATCGTGTCAAGACGAAGACGAGTTGGCAACTGACGCCGAAGAATTCGCAGAGCATGCTGAGGAAGCCCGGCAGCTCGCGCGACTGCACATCGGCCAGCAACAGCAGGCAGACGCACGACGCTATAATACCCGCCACAGAGAAGTGTTTTACAGCCCCGGAGAACAAGTTTGGGTGTGGACGCCCGTCCGCCTCCGTGGCCTTAGTGAAAAGTTGCTGAGCCGGTACTTTGGCCCATATAAAGTGTTACGCCGCGTCAGTGACGTGAACTACGAAATGGTTCCGGACTCAACACCCCATGCACGGAGCAGGACACGGCTGAGGCCGGACGTCGTTCATGTGTTGCGCATGAAACCATTTATTGCGCGTTGCTCGTAACTTTTCCTTTACCGTACAGCATTCTTTGTGTTTTTTGTTTATTTGTGTGAACTTGCTTTCTCGTTCATTGAGGTTTCTTATATTGGCACGCTCTTCAATTTTTACTTTCACTTTATCCGAATTTCCCATTTTTTTTCTCACATGCCTATGTAGTAGCATCGCGGTGATTCTATGTTCTTTTCTTTCCTCTTTTTGGGACTTGTTTTTTTTTTCTTTTCGGAAGGGGGGATAATGCCACTAGCACGTAGTGGGTCGACAGCAAGAGCGGCTCTCAATCTGGAGGAAAAAGAAGATCGCGTGCTTTCTTCTCTGCTCGAGAGCCAGCCACGACTGACGCATCGTCCTAGCGCTAGCTACCCGGTTGTTCAATAAATCCCCCAGTACTTGTGACTCATCGTGACAATATATTACTTTAGAGTGCGCCGATAGATGGTGGCACAGTAGTACGGTGTGCTCCAGCAGCACAGGCTGTCGTCGCAAAAGGAGCCATGCTTTCGGCGCCCGACGACACACTGCCCCTTCCCAGCATGTACATCATAAGGCTGGGAAGCTCTGCTATGTATTAGATAATGGAAGTGCGACAATTCATATATAAAATAATGAGGGAAGAATAAAAGTGAAAAGACGATGCTGGGAAACTGCTAAATACCAGAAAATGAAGAGCAACAATTCTTATAAAAAAAAATAAAGAGAAGCCCTTGCAACAGCTTGTTTCAATGAAAACTTTTGCAACAAAAACATTCTCTCCTAGAAAGTACATATGCATCTACATGCGAGTACACCATCATAACATTACAACCAACCTGTGCAACATGGTTTCATTTCTTACGGCATTGAACAGAAATGTTAGTCGCAAATGATCTTTCAATCACGATCATTTGCCAGACCAAGTTACAGCCATTAAACTAGTTCCACAAACATATAGCTAATTTGTCAAGCAGTTTCACAGATGAATTAAACACACAGAGTTTTACAAAACACAATACCGCATTTAGCCAATCAAGATGTTGGGAAAGGTCCACGTAAACTACACTGTCTCTTTTACAGTTCACTGAACCCTTGCCAAGCCTCACATTGTTTGAATCTGGACAGGGGCTCACTTTGATTGACAGGCTTCATTTCAAAAACAGTACCAGCCTGCGTGACTGCCAGTTATCTAGAAAACTGCCTGTGCTTTGTGATTACCTCGGCACTGCAGCCAGCCTCGATGTACTCCTTCTCAAATCTGCCTTTTACAGGGCTGTCACCCTCTTCTTCGCGGCCTTCTTCTTCGTCGTCCTCCTCCTCTTCATCGTCGACACCTTCGTCATCACTGTTAATGTAGCAGACAAATAAGCGGGTATTAGCATAGCAATTTGTCTTGACTAGCTTTTTTCATTTTACCAGATAATGCTCGTGTTTTTAGTAATTCAGATTAATATTTTCTTGAAAAGAAAAGATAGGCTGTAAACGTGCTCAATAAAAACTGCCTTGTTGCATTTCGATGGTTCTTGGCATAGTTTAAGCTGTTTATTGTTTAATTTACAAAATGTAGCAACTTGGTCCACAGCATGCCTTCCTGCCAATTCACCGTGCCTACATACCTCAAGAAGATGGCAAATTGGAACAGTGTGATACATTTCATTAGGAAGTAAGCAATAAAAAAATGAAATGGTAATAAGGTATTGATCTGGGCAACGGAGAGTCACCTGAAGGCACACAGCGCTTCGATCTTGCCCACTGCCTCCATAACGGCCTCCAGCGTGTTCACTCCTTCAGGGCCGAACTTATTACCTGAGGAATGAAAACAAGAGAACTGGATTTATAGCTGGTTTTTGCGATTAGTCATATCAATGTAGTTTCAGCTGGGGGAAAGTATTTCCACCTAAACATAAAGTTTATGGCGGAAACGACAGGAGCCCGACTGTCGTAGAATTTTTATAAAACATTTGCCTGAAAAAAAAAGTAAGCCCTATGTATAGAAAACAGTATATGGGGACATTCAAATTGCCAGTAATTAATTGAATATTGCCATGACCAGAAACTAAGTGCTAACAAAGAAACTTTTGCACACAAGGACTGTGGACTCTAGTTACGCACCATCAAGTTCAAGCGTTTCCAAATCTGGCTTCCCCTTGAGGGCCTCCACAATTGCAAGGCCTCCATCAAGTGTGATTTCATTGTTGCCCAGATTCACGTTCTGAAAAATTAGGTTGTCACTTAAAACAACTCACTTTCCCCCAAAAATAAATGCAGTGCTAGCAACAAAATAACGCATTAAAGTATTCGACTGTAGTAGAGGTGGGAAAAGGCCAAATAGGAGCATAACTGTCAAGCATAAGTAACTGTATTGTATTAAACATAATCACGGCACTATAGACTCTTAACATTGATATAATGAACACAGATATAACAAAACATCGGTTACAACGAAGTAAATGAAGAATAATCTTGCTATAAATACAGTATTAAAAATTACATTCATAATACATTTTTGGACATATGAATTTAATTTCGGGTAAGATGCGACTTTGTTACATTGAGGTTTGAGTGTACTAATATAGCTGGAATGTGTGCCAAGTGAAATTTTGCTTCATACTTGGGCCTTTTAAACACACTCAGTGGAAGAAATTCCACAATCATACTAGCCAAGTTCAAGAATTCTGAACTCTGAGACTTCTGCAAAAAGGTGAGGGGGTGGGTGGAGGGGAGAGTATCCTTTTTCATCATCATCATCATCAGCCTGACTACGTCCACTGCAGGACAAAGGCCTCTCCCATGTCTTGCCAGTCAACTCGGTCCTGTGCTTGCTGCTGCCAATTTATACCCGCAAACTTCTTAATCTCATCTGCCCACCTAACCTTCTGTCTCCCCCTAACCCGCTTGCCTTCTCTGGGAATCCAGTTAATTACCCTTAATGACCAGCGGTTATCCTGTCTACACGCTACATGCCCGGCCCATGTCCATTTTCTCTTGTTTATTTCAACTATGTTATCCTTAACCCCCATTTGTCCCCTAATCCACTCTGCTCTCTTCTTGTCTCTTGAGGTTACACCTACCATTTTTCTTTCCATTGCTCGCTGCGTCGTCCTCAATTTAAGCTGAACCCTCTTTGTAAGTCTCCAGGTTTCTGCTCCGTAGCTAAGTACCGGCAAGATACAGCTGTTATATACCTTCCTCTTGAGGGATGGTGGCAATCTACCTGTCATAATTTGAGAGTGCTTGCCGAATGTGCTCTACGCCATTCTTATTCTTCTAGTTACTTCAATATCGTGGTTCGGCTCTGCGGTTATTACCTGCCCTAAGTAGACATAGTCTTTTACAACTTCAAGGGCACTATTACCAATCTCGAAGCGCTGCTCCTTTCCGAGGTTGTTGTACATTACTTTCGTTTTTTAGTTTGTCTTAAAAAAAAAAGCATCTCAGAAAAAGGGTGAGGGCTCTCGAACAGCCATGAAGACGTAAACATTGGTGTTGCGGTCTCCCAACTATAAAATCTCAGTTACAAGTGCGTATCCCAAGCAGGTACAAAAAAATTCTTATCGCCCGACACTCTATAAAATTAAAGAAAAGTTCATTCAACTATATGCATAAAACATTTCCTTCCGTGAAAAGAACTCTCGTACACTTCCCTGGGGCACGAGCGAACGGAACGATAAGGTACGGTGAAACTGGCGGCTGGCTGCCACGGAAATGCGCGTCAAAGCTTCAATTGAGGACAACTGAGAAGTAAGTGCTGAAGTCCACTCCGCCGTAGTCATAAGCGAAGAGTGACATGAACACTGAAACGCCTCGTGCCTCTGTTTAGGCCTTTATCGTTTTCAATGTAATGCTGCGTTAGCTGTGTACTTTCGGAGCTCGAAGCTGCTATCGATGATCGTGCCGCATCGACCGCCGTTTCGTTTGTGGCGGTTGCGGCAAACAGTAGTACCATTTTTATTCCGCATGCACTTCAAAGCTAAAGTGCTTGTTGCTATTTATTATTATAGCATCTATCCAGTTTTCTAGGCAGCGTTTGCAGGAATAAGCGTCACTTTGACTGGGTGAGTGTTGATCACATGTACCCTTTCTGTGTTTCGTCAGTTTAATCATCACTGTACATGATCAAGTTAAGGAGGGACTAGGGTCTTAGAAGGCCAAAAATCGCAAAAAATTGACTTTTTGAAGCTGGCATTTTCGAAATCTACGCCTATTTTTGCACTCATCTGAGAATTTTCTAGCTTCTTGCGTCATTATTTCTGGCGCAAAATCAATTTATAATATCCCTGTGAGATGAATGTGAGCGCAAATTGATGCTAAAATTGCGCTTTTTCCGCGCCGAACTGTTGCCGTTACACACGAGCTATCGTGTTCATCTTGGTCTTGTTTGGAAGGGTCGTTCTTCATCATCAATTTCCCGCCATCGCTGGCTCACCTTGCTGATTGGTTTTTTAGCAAAAACGCGTCATGGAGAAGCACTAGCGCGCGATTCAATTGGCTGCTTGGGGCACGTGACCAAATTTAAGCATCTGATTTGCCAAGGGGCGCTTTCGGCGTCTGCTTCACCATCATGACGCGCATGGACATGCGCCATTTTGCCATTGTGCTACTCACTGCTTGCGGCAGTAAAGAAAGTCCGTGCTACAGTAATTAGTGAAGCGGGTTTGGCAGTGATTCGTTCGCTGTGAACTTCAGAAAGATCCCCGCTATGGCTCAGGACAACGAGCATAACGAACTGAACGTGATCAACGGCAGTCGCCGAGTCTCACCGGTGTAGGCCTAACTCACGTACGAGCCCGTTGATTGCCGACAACGTTACTGAGAATGGCTGTGTTTTGCAGCCTCATCAGTTATAGGACGGCAAGTAAAAAGCAGAAGTGAAGCTACCAGAGATATCAATCTTTGTAGTGACGGAACGGAAGTGCAGTCGTATCCCTAAACCCGCCGATGTTGTGGTTCCCCCCGCCTGACGAAAGGACCTTGAACTGCGAGACGGGTCGTCACAGTGGAGTACGCCGCGCGTCGACCAACAACAGAAAGTCAATCTGTTCGCAGTGAACATGCTCGCGGCCCTCGCAATGGAGGCTACTGGCAACAGGTAGACTGCTTTTCACGACGTGTTCGCAACGTTCTCGCGATCTCCGCTCGAAAATGCGGCAGTCTTACGTGAAAAGGAAACTAACACCTCGGCACTCGTGTAGCCTCGACATTGATGAGCGAGGGAGCAACTTTGGTTCACAACACTTACAGAAAACTTATTCTGAACAAGCAGGAAAACATCGCCGCGTTATTCGACGGATCGTGGATGACGCACGCACATTTGTCGCACATCGCCGTCAGTACAGTCAGCGAACTGATATGCGGCCTCGCGGCAGGCGAGCACACGGCGACAACTTGCTACAGGACTAGAAGAAACGAAACGCTCGTACAAACAATCCGTCCTATTACATTCCCGGTGCATATTAACTGACTAAAAGTATGTGTGCCATGATATTTTCCCCTCAGAACGGCGAAATTAAGTTTTGACAGCATTATTCTCGAAGCACAGATTTCGACCACTTTCTTTTGCTTGTTCGGTAAAGTGGACCTAGGACAGCTAGAGCTGTAATTGTTTTTGCACAATGTAGCTAAATGTGCACAAAAAACAATGCTGGGAGCCTATTTTTAATGGGCTGCTTCATTTTTTTTTTATTTTAATATAAAAATTTCTGTATTTCGTTACATGCAGTTAACTTTACTGTGCTGTAATTCGAGAAGTACTCGTTCAATTTTCGATCAGCTTGCAGCATTGCACTCCTTAGGCTTTCTAGCATTCATTTATATGTCAATGGCTATGTAATTATAAGTGCATACATTTTTACAGTTAAAAATGTTAGAATTGTTTGTTTTCTTCATTTTCTCAAAATGGCAATTTTGTACACCCTGCATGAAAATTACTGCAATATATCTGAAACTATCACAGATAGCATAATATTTTATTTTGCAGCATGAAGATATATATTTGGAGCACACAACATAGGAAGCAGATTTTGATTTCTCTTGATGCAAGTTTTTCAAACTAGTCTTTTGTGTGACCACACAATGGCCACATTCAGGGCTGTGAAGTTTAGTGTACTGTAAAGTAAGAAATAATGACCCACTCAAAAAAGTGCTTCTTCTGTTGCATGTCTTATGCTTTCTAGTGTCAATCCCTATGTTATTTATAAATTTTTGACAGGTGCTTATTTTTCTATTATGGTAAGAACAATAGAAATTATTATTTTGATTATTTAATTAACTAATGAATCTACAGAAAAAATAACTACATTTTTAGAATCCGGAGAACAAACTAAGTGCGCATGCCAACTTCTGTCACACTTGGTTCAAAAATAAATTAGAGAGCCCTAAGAACCATGTCCCCCCTTAAGACAAACCGTGGTTTCGTGGGACGGGCGCATCTTTCAGAAGCTTTTAACCTAGTGCGCCGCACGAAATTGTTCAGAACATCTGAACATTTGGCCCAATAGACACAGTAAAACTCTGCTGAGAAATTTTGCAAATTCGTTAAACCGATATTCTTCTGTACATTTACATCAATGCCCCCTAATTCGTTCAAAGTATAATGCGATAGTCTGATAGTTTCGCAAAAAACCTAGATCAGATTTTCGGCCATGCGGCCAGATCACGCACAAAAATTTCAATTTCCTCAAGATTTTCCAGTCAACCGTACGAACGCAAGAAACGGTTGTTATCCGGAAGACTTAGCAGGTATTCACAACGTTATTACAGCTTCACTGCAAAAGATAGTATGTAAATAAAGAAAAATAAGTAAATCTAATATAATTAGGCATTGATATGTATAACAAACTTCATTACTATAACAAAGTTCTCTATATAATGAAAAAACAAAAACCATGGTCATTTGAAATGAGTAAACGCATATAACTTGCATGGATACGAGAGCAGCTGGGTAATAAACAGTGTATGGAAAGGTTATATTGTAGGCATCTATTATGCGCTTCATCCTCTTCTGAACAGCAGTCAATCATCATCATATGTTCTGGCTGACAATCATCATCTTCTTTTGAAAGTGCGCTTCATCTTCGGGTCCGTTGCGCTTGTTCGTTCCTGAGTTCACGGCCAATAAACCTCGTTACAACTGAGTCGTCATACGTGGTGGAGGTGGAGTGACGATCCCAGTACCTCTCCTTACAACGCCTACTCGCTGGAGCTCCGTTCAGG